GTAGCATGTTTATGATGCAGTGGTGGACTGTAGATATTGTTAGAATCCAGTAGTATACACATAAAAGAACGTACGAAGCATGAGTTCCTTAGAGTGAAAACTGAACTTAGACAGCAGTAGCAATTATTCCATCACGGATGATAAACCCTCTAAACTAAAACAAGGAAACACTGCCACACATACAACTGTGAACAGTTCAGCTTCTTATTCGCGGTGATATGGCAGCACTACTACAATTTTAGCAAACTGAATTCCTCAATAACTTAAAGAAAAACGCCTCCTTTGGAGCTGCTCACCAGTCAACCCTTTGTGACAGTACATTTTCCCTGTTACAGTGTGTCATAAATACATTTGGTCTGTCAGCACTGAAATAAGGTAAAAATGTCTTTACTTTCAGACAGTGGTTTATACTCTGTCTTGTTCGCTGGAATCTCAGATAAATGTGGGTTTCGTTGTAGACACCATAGCAAGAACATAACTTTGTCTTACATCATGCACACAGTGGAGTATAACTGCCTTACATCACCTCATAGTCCTCAGAGCCCAGTCAGATGAAACGTGAAGCCGTCCCTCCTACCCAACCTCAACCTGAGAGCTACTGAGACGTGCTGCACTGGCAAAGACATTCCTATTTTCACACCTCTGAAACGCTCTGCCCAGCTTCAGTGTTACCATAACGATCACAAAGCCACTTCTGATGCCCCAAAACTGTCAATCAAGCGGACAGCCAAGCAAGTAGATAAACCACAATGACCTGACCCCCTGGCCTCTAACCTCTGACTCAGTGACATCAATAATGGCAGTTAAATTCCCTTTTGACTCGTCTGGTTATGCAAGAGAAGAGCTGAACTTGATGCACCTTTGTTCCTCTTCTGTATCTGTTTACTCCCTTTTATGTTCATTATATTTTTTAGTCACGCTATAAACACTTTTGTATTGAACATTCAGGTGCCTAACAAAAAGTAAAAAGCCTCTGATTTGGTCATTAATTGGTGGTTTTACACATTTCACTCTGCTCAGTGATCAGTCAGCCAGACTTTTCCAGAGCTGGATAATCACTGAAGTTATCCTCAGTGTTTACATGGCACCTCATAAGAAAAAATCAAAACAACAGTTATCCGTGGAAAGGGTGGTTCCAAAGAAAAGAGGCATTACATTTAACTGCCCTCAGAAAATTGGTCATTGCACGCAGATCATATTCTAGTCCCACCGGTCCTACATCTCGCTGCCTCTGTCAGTCCAGCCAATACTGTAACAGCACAAACGCCTGCCAAATGACACCTGAGCCTCTCCATCTGTAACAGTAAACCTCTAAAATGCTCAGCCATAACTGTACAAACCTCAGAAATTCTGTGGTTTAATCATCAACATTTTCTATTCAGATACAAAAACTTATTGTATTGTTAGTACAAAGGAATAACAATGGCTCATGTACTTGTGAATTTCCTAATCCAAGACTAAATGTTTGTTAGTGAGCCTGTGCTTAAATTTAAGTTTACATCACATTTAAAGACCTAGAGCTATACACAACACTTTAACAAAGAAACAGACCTGAGTGTCCTTGTCAAATTTGACCAATTACAGTGTTAGTCTGATAAACACACAGACCTGCCGTCTCTTATCCCAGACAAAACAAGAGCCCAATAAACGAGTGACCAGAGAGTTAAGAAGAGCCCTCTGTTGGTCGCTCGTTCATTCCAGGCTAATCTCCACACATCTTTTATAAATACCATATTCTGTCATTCATCACTTTAGTATCATTAGCTCCTGCTAAGGATCATGAAACATCTCTTGGCTGTCCCCTAATCTGCTCTAGATGCCTCCATCCCATTAACCCTACCTGCTACACTTAGGTGTGAAGCAAAAGTGGATTAAAAAGCTCAGGATAATGAGGAGATGGGAGCAGAAAACAGAATTTAAAATACTTTTTCTTACCCCTTGAGATTTCCTTTGCAGCGACTTCGGTTGTCAGCCTGAATCCACAGGGAGTCAGCCAAAACCAAGTACCAGGCCAACAAAACCACCACCCGTCTCCAACCGTCCCCCACCTGCCTCTCCCTGAGGCCTTATAAGGAGAGAGAGCTGCCTATATATAACCAGTATCCTTCAAGACTCGTGGCCACCACAACCAGTCAACTATTTGATGAACAGAGTTTATTGATTACAGTTTGTCGTGGACCGGTCGCTGGTCTGTGGCACGATATCCGAACAGCACCTGCGAAACAACTGGTTATTCGTGTATACCAGCTGATCCAGACAATGCAGGGAATCTGGCCATGGTGATGTTATGGGGAGGGCAGTACCACACATTTACTAGCAGCATTTTTAGCTCCACAGAATAGGCAGCAGTATGTTTTCTCAAGTTAAACAGAGAGCTGGACACTTTAATCTCTTTTATATCACAATGGCATAGTTATAAAACATATACGAGACAGCATTTCACAGCTCACGCAACACACACCTCCTGAAAACCCGTTTAAATTTGGCGTTGCAACGGCTACATATGTGTTGTTTATACTGCTGATTTACTTATACTTGCTAGCCGCAAATTGGACGGTTCTGAAGAGCCTCCGTTAATATCGTTCCCCCATTTGCACATAGAAACGTCTTGAGACTCTGTGTCGCATGCTGAACTTTGGCCAAGGCCTATTTATAAAACTAGCTACAGTTACAGCTAGACTATTCCTGACACAGTGGAGAAGCTGTAAAACACATTTCACATCTGAGACAAAATCATATGAGGGGACGACATGGAGGTACATTTGAGAAAAGCAGCGACGGAGATCGGCGGGGTGGGGGCTCGGGCACGAGTGTGTGACGTAGGCGTAGAGAAGAGTGTGAAAGGAGGCAAACAAGAACACAAACAGGACGATTTTTTGTATTTTTTTTAAAGCTAAAATCTTTAACTGTCCTAAAATATATGATTCTCTCCAATAAGAGCACAATCATACAGAAAGTCCATAAAGTCCAGATGCAATATGATAAAGGTGGTCAGTTCTTGCAAAAAGATGGGCTCTGATTTGAAAATGCATTGATGTATTTATATTTATGTATAATTTTACATGAGCAGGATTAATTTCAAATGTCACGTCTGTATGAAATTAGAATGCAACATATATTAAAAGCATGAGGTTTTATTTTTTCTAAGTTCATATCTTTGACTGCCCCAAATCTGTCAATCAAGCAGACAGTCAACCAGTTAGATGAAACCAAAATGCCCTAACCCTCGGCCTCTAACCTCTGACCCCTGAAGCCTATAATAACACTAAATTCCCATTTGACTCCTCTGGTTGTGCTGTAGAACAGTTGAAGTTGATGTCAAGTTCATTATTATGGCACATTCTAGAAATAACAAATAGAAGATCTATAAAGGAAGTATCACCAGGAGCCTAAAGGACTGCATTGAAACGACAGCAGATGTTTTGTTAATTTATGCTTTAATAAAGCTTGATTGTCCTACATGCAAAAATGGTTTATCAGGTTTAAGATTAGTTGTACTCCTGCGCATCATTGTAAACTCTGGTCTCGTTTTTTTTTGCTTTGTGTGCATCTGTGTGGTACAAACAGGACAGACATCTTTCTGTGGTTGAAAAGGAGCCCTCTGTTGGTCATGTGATAGTATACTCTGAAACCAAAGCTCAGTGATGTTTTTTATCAACTATGTGGCCGGTTAACAGTGAGGCAGGAGAAAATATTTTGCAAATGAAAAGTTTTTATGATCAGTGTCTTCTCTTCTAATAGGATATGGGGAAATCTGGACTTTTCCAGTAACACTTTCTGACACTTTGGTCTGTCTCAGGAGACAGAGCAAGATAAATTCTTCACTTATTTTACTCCCCTGACATTCTTAGTTTTACACATTGGTCTGTAATGTATCGTTATTTAAAGGGAGCCTCTGGGCATTTCATACATTTAATATGTCAGGCCTGTTTAATTATCTTTAAATAATGAATGATTTGCAGAGCACTTTGCAAAGTTAACAGCCTGACTGAATGGTAATTTGTTTTAAAGAAACACAAAGTAGGCATGTAATACATTTTGTTGTCTCTTTCTGTGTAGGAAAAATCTTATGCACATTTTTTTGAAGAAGATAAGTTCTGTAAAAATGTCCTCAAATCAGCCACATAAGCAGAATTTTAATCTCGGCATGTTGACGGAAAATTATCTACTGTCATGTTCTCTTAGCGGAAGACTGTGTTCCTTGTGGGTTTTTTAAACCTCTGTCGAGGTCACATGATTTCTGTCGAGCTCAGCATGGAAGGTGGCAGTTTGCCAAGAACTGGAGCAGCAGTCGAAACTAATGCAGTGACAATCGAAACGTACAGTAAATCCCCAGTGTGTTGTGAGCATAGTCCAAACGTGCGCATCCTTCTCGCTGTGAAAACAACAGATTTTTAAAAAAGAAATACAGGATATGCACATAAGCTCAGAATAATTTGTCACGTCTTAGTTGGCTGTGGAGCCCCCTCTTAATATAACTGCCAACTGAATAAGTGAGTCATCTTTGTAGCCACATTGTCTGACTGACATTTTTCATTAACAACATTCCCAAAGCCTGCCATCTGAACGCTGAAGCTATTTTTAGACAATTTGATCAACCATATCCCCAAAACAATGAATTTTAGAGTGCACTTCTGAATTACTATTAAATCTTAGTTAAAATACTGGCTGTGTGGTAATGTTTAATAATAATGTCTCGAAATTGTCTTAAGGTTGTGACGTTTCAATATATGTTTTATAGTAATTTCTTATGTTATATGATACCAGGAGCTGTATTTAAAATATTAAAACTCTTATCCTTTCTTGCACCCTGTATTGCAAGCTGTCCTGAGAGGGGCGATTGTTTACTGATACATCAAAGAACCTAGTCCAATGTATCGCTAAAAGGCTGTCGAGCGAAGAGCAGTCGGTGCGGGCAGGACAGTAAATCAAGCGACCCCTTCTAGCCTACCACGTGATGACGCATGACCCGTGCGGCGCTCCTGATTGGCTGAGCAGACAGGCAGGTAGTGAAGCGGCTGCGGGACGTCAACAACAGACTGGCCGTTGGTACTGTGTGTCCTGAGTAATTCTTTAACCTAGTTAAGTTTTCTAAATAAGAATCTAATTTGCCTTCGTGTAACCACTACGAGTCTTTGCTGCATCATACCCGACACAAGGTGAGGCCGCTTTAATTATTACATTTGCCTAAACCAAGTGCTGTGAGGTTAAAACAGAAGTTCAGCCTCTAATAGTCTGAACGTTTAAGTTCTTTATCAGAGTTTGAGGTGCTTAAAGGGTAATTTCCAAAAGCCGGCATTAGCTAGAGTTTTAGCTAGGTTTAGCTAACATTGGCTCATACTTGGGTGACTTTAATGACGTTAAAGTTACAGAAATACATTTCGTCGTTGGCCATTGAGTTCACATTTGTGCGTCGCCGTCTGTTTAGACTGACTAACGAGGAGACTTTTCCATAAAATGTCTCTCAAAACAATTCCATAAAGTCATCTCATCACGCATGCGCTCTTAACTGAGGGGGTTTAGGTTACTGTAAGCCCAGGTAAGATGTATGCAGGTACGAAGTTTCGATTACATTTGATGTTCCTCTTTGTGTAGTGAAGGAGGGAGGAGTTGCTGGTAAGAAGCTTTTTGACGATTGCCTAATGTTGTCACACTTGAGCTTTTTGTGACCACTAAGTTCTGTTAGCTAAAGCCACTACCTGTTTTCTGCTTTTGACAATCGTGGTATGCATGTGACAGCTCTTGATGCATGGTGCTTGTTTCAGCAAAATCCGATGTTATAGAAATGTATTCCTATTGCATAAATTATCCAAAGAGAATCTTGTTCACTAAAGCCCCTTCAGAAATTCAGAGGAAAGGATCCTGGAAACAGCTGAACTTCAAGCTCCCCTTAACATCTTGCAAAAAAAAAAAAAAGATTGCAATAATCTTTGGAAAGTATCAATTTGAGCTGTAGGTCTTTGTTTTCATTACAGTAAAGTTTTTGTTTGTTTTTTAAAGGGCATTTCAGTTCAGTAAAGTTTAGTCATGACACTTGATCTTTTAGTTTCAGTTCAGTAATTAGAAGACTGTGAGATTTGACACTCAATTGTCTTTCCGCGATGCCTTTTTGCACCAGTGTTGGTGCTGAAATGTGTAAAAGCCTTACTCAAACTGCGTCACACAACGCAAAGTGTTGCATCTCATATCTGCCTATCCATTAATGCAAAGGAATGCAGGTCAGACTTATGCTGAAAGTAATACGGAAATGTTATTAGGACTGACCTAGTCATACTGCTGCTGCAACTCTTATGGAGAAGTGACCACCAGTGGCTTATTCATATATGAAGCTGACATCTTCAGTTGCCGTCAGTTTAACAGTAAGGAGTGCATTCCTGAAAGGGGCCTCATTGTAGACTCTTGATGTGGTTTTTACTGTAATGTGGATGTTTCAGGAACCTGGGGTTTCAGTTCTGAGTTCAAGATTGAAGTCGCTGTTTGTTGATCAATCTGTTATCTTGTTTTAGGTCAGCCATGAGGCTCTGCTCTGCTCTCCTGGTCTGCCTGGCAGCAGCCCTGTCCTCGGCCTTTGTCATTTCACCTCCGTAAGTACAGAAAAATATTAGACGCCCATAGATTTGTGTAATAAATACATAATAACCAAACAGGACTCCACTGAGAAATTTTTTGTGTGTTTCAGCCATATGTGGACGAAACTCATCCTGACCCACCACTGGCCTACCACCTTCTGTTCTGTGAGTCTTTGTTTATCAGTTTATTTTATTTTAACATTTTGAGCTTTAAAAATATACAATTGGGATTTTTCGGTGAACACAAATTGGTATATCACAAATGGAAGAGAACAGTTTAAGTTAATAAGATTAATGATTAGATTGTCTTCTTTTATGTTTTTACAAAAAGGATGAAAGGAAGGAGTTTGAAACTTTCAGGGCTGATGTCGTTGCTGAATATTATTATTAATAATCAAGGAGACTAATAACAGATATTTGGAGATAGTCTATGTTTGCAGTTGAAATGGAAAATCTTGATCTCAAAATTGCCTTTGTCAGTCATGTTTATGTATGTTTTACTAAAGGTAATTTTTCAACATTTTTCATTGAGTGTTGCTGGACGATTCCTCATGGCATGGAACCAATCAGATAATGCTGTGAGCAGGATATTGCTTGAGACCACAGCGTGATGACTGCAGATAGAGAGAGGCAGCAGCATCAGAGACAGTAGCTCATGTTTAAGTTAATACAATTTTCTCCAGAATTGGTTAAACTAGAGAATGGTATCCATAATCATAAACATGCTGAATATTAGGTCCAACAATCAGCCGAGACAAAACTCGGTCTTCCCCTAAATGTTAGCTGCCTTTACTCCAATTATATGCTGCCTATTCAAGGCCCTGATACTGTCAGTTGTTGAATATTACATGTCTGTGAGGAAGATCATCTTTGCTTTCTCGTAATAAGCATCTACAGTGTCTGCAGCCTGTGATTAAGAGTCAGATTGGTCATCACAGTCGTGTCAAGAGACTCCTCTCTCACTGTGGGAAATTTCAATATGCAGATTTCTCAAATAATTCAAACATGTTACTCCAGACAATATTTTTCTAGTAGTACAGTTGTGTTTTAAGGTGTTCTTCAGCAAAGTGAAGGCGTGCAATGATATTGTTTTGCCACCATACAAACAGACACCATGATTTCAACATGGTAGATGGATGAACGGAGGTGCTACGCAGGTCTAATGACTCCTTTAAACCTTTAACGGTTACTCTGTTCCACTTTTTTCTCCTTGTTGAGCATTTTCCGCCTTGTGACACCATACAAACAGGCACCATGATTTCAACATGGTAGACTAATGAACAGACCCAGGTCTAATGACTCCTTTAAACGTTTAATGGTTACTCTGGGCCACTTTTTTCCCCTTGTTGAGCATTCTACACTGGCCCTTCGGGGTTATCTTCTAGGGAGAGAAGCCACTAAATGGGCTCCATTTGTGGACAGTTAATCTAACTTTGCGCTGATCAATGTCTAAAGGATCTGAGATCTCTGTTCAACCCTTTCAAGCTACAAGCAAATCATTAATTCGATTGGAATTTAATGATTGTCTTCTGATATCTATTTTTTGATGCATTAGCAGATAATTTATGTAAATTGCAAATTCCAAAAAATAAAAAAATAAAAATTGTTTTGTAAGTCATAGTAGCTGGAACCCACATCTCCAGTTTTATTTCACTGATTGTACCCAAGGTTTGCTGAGTCCTGTTTCCTGTTACGCCTTGTTGATATCCTCAGGCTAGGGATTCATACACTTTAACCATCCTGCACTGTGAATGAACTGAAACAAAAAAAAAAATCAATCATTTGTATGGCAATATTTAAAACTGATTTTTCCTAACTGCAATGTAGATGTAGACAGAATAACAATATTTTCAGATAAATTTATTCATAAATGCAGGGGCTGGTGTCTCTCCCAGCTGACATCGGATGAGAAGCAGGGTAGCTCTGGACAGCTTCGTAGTCAGGCACAGAGCTGGCACACAGGAAGCCACCAGCTGGCTGGCAGGTTGGAACACAGAACTTTCTTGCTGTGAGGTGACAGTGCTAACCACTCCCACCTCAACACTTATTATAACTCTCTTGCTTACTGTCTGACTCTTACAGCGCACCAGGACGTTACCTATATTCTCTGTTGCTGACTAAACATGTAGTTCCTAATTGTCATGTGACGTCTGAGTCATGAGACTGTCTGTGTGTCAGCAGCTTGGTTTGATTAGCTGACATTTTGTTTGAGGTCACAAGCGTGTACAGTTTCATTAGGTTACAACACAAATGCACAACCACTATTTTGTGCTTTTGGACAGCATGCTTTTGTTGTGGTGTCCTGACAACCTCTCGGTTCATACCGTTGAATACTGTGTGCTTTTATATTACATGTCGGCTTATTGCAGAACTACTGGACTAGACTTCGTTGGCTTTTGCATTTTCTAATGACCAAACTAGCAACTGAGAGTGGACTACTTTATGTCACAAAGGCCACAAATCTGGTAGCTGGCATTACAAAGATAATAAATACAATACATACTGCAGCTTCAAAGTGATTGTTTATTTCAGACATTAATTACAGCTTAGTTGCAGCTTCTGAAAAAAAATATTGTGTGGGTTTTTGTTGTTTTTTTGGTTCTACAGAAGAAGTAATTTCATGTTTTTGTTTTCCCATTAATTTCAGATGGAACACTGTCATGCCAACATTAGCTCCTGGACATTACATGGACTGTGGTAAGTGTGTGCATGTTTTGAGTTTGACCACTGGTTTGCTACTTTAGAAAACTGGTAACAAGTAAATGTCCTGTCAAGAAACAACAACATACTATATATATATACAGTCAAAGAATAAAGTCCAGCTGAGGATTTTGAAAACTGACAACAGGGATGTATTACATGTTTTCCACTAACTATTTAAGAAACTGATGACGTTTGTTTATTTCTCTGTGAGTGAGTAAATTGGGAACTATTTTGTGTGTGTGTGTGTTCCAGGCCAGACAAAGGGATTGCCTGTGATCCGTCATGGCATTTCAACTCATCCGAAATCGAGGTATAGCACTGCTCAGACCATGTGACTTTATCATTAGGTTTAAAATTGTTAAAGGTAATCTGTCTTATTTCTGTTCTGTCTCAAATCAGCAGATTTATTGAGATGGAACATAAACGTTTTAACATCAATGAGATTAGGCTACTGCCAGGACAAAGACGATCTAAGAGTGTATTTTGCTCATCAGAATAGCGAGATGATTAGCGCTTATAATCCAACGCAGACAAAACAGTAAAATTTGGCATGACAGAATTTGAGATGGTAAATAAATGGATTTCTTTCCGCTTCCTTTAGTTCCTTTACAGTAAACCTTCTCCTGACAGATAAAACAAGCCTGTTGTTGGATGTGTGTTTTCAGGACCTGCTACCAGACATGAAGAAAAGTTGGCCTGACCTGCTTAAACCCACATCTTCTGAATTCTGGTACGTCTGATCTGTCTGACTCCTTGACAGATGTGAAATTTCACTAAGCTTTAGAACATCAGGCGTGATTAAAAGGTTCAGAAAAAATGCACGTGAATTAGCTGCTGTTCCCTTTGAAGTTTACATCTTGTGCGGTGATACACTGACCCCCGTGTTCCTGCCATGTTTGCAAGTTCTGTTTTCAAAGTGCACTTGAAGAGTTCATTTGCAAAAACAGATAACTCCATCTTCACAAACCTGCAGTAAGCCCACTTATCCATCGTCTACCTGAGATAATATCAATCAAACTCAAGTTATCTGTGGGTGGGGTTGTCTCGGGTGTTATCGTGGGTTGTCCTGGTTTGTGGTTGTTTGTGGTTCTCTCCCGTGGCCGTGTCCTTTGGCAGTGTCCTTGTCCTTGAGTTTGTTCCCATTGGCGGGCGGCCCTTTGCTTGGCGGTTTTTTCCCCCTTGTTTTTTGATTTTTTTTTTGATTGGTTGATTGGGAACTTTAAGTTGTTTTTTAGTTGCGGCCCTTTTCCCCTTTTTCTTCATTTTCTTTCTATTATTTCTACTGCGTTCAATCTCCTTGTGCTTAGTGTTATTTCTGTTATCTCGCGCCGACCACCACCAAAGTTTTTTGAAAGTGTCTACAAATGTGGTTTTCTGTTTTTTTGCATGTGCTCTTTTCTTTTGTGTTTTTTGCGTGTTGTGAGTGATTGCTTTCTCCTGGTGGAGCACTCACTTCCATTAAGTCAAAGTTCAGGTCGTTCACACCAAAAGTTCTCCTTCAGACGTCCCAGGATGTCAGGATAGAACTTTCCTTTGACAGTCTGAGTACAACCTTATCAATACAAAACAAGGTGCACTCTGCTGAGGTGGCACACCTACTTTGGGCTTAAAGACCGACAAGTTAGAGAGACTTTGGGCTCTTCCACTGTGAAGACTGCCATGTGGTCTTTGTAGCTGTAGACCCGACTCTCCTCACCAATGATCGTCCTCGACATGATTGTAGGTTAGTCTGGGACCTGTTGACAGTGATCCTCGCAGACTTCGACAACAAGCTGCTTATGCAGGCCATGATGAAATCACAAATGAACACCCGCCAGTGGTCACAAAAGCAGCATCAAGAAAAACATTTACAGACAGATTACATGATATGAATGCATTTTATTCACTTACAGTCCCAAGTTTTACGTCTCTTTTAAATGACTACAAACATTTACTTCTATTGTTTTTTTGCCACTCAGAACAATGTCATATAGTGGATATATGTACATACATGTTACCTCTGTAGATAGCCAGAAATCTTGTGTATTCCTGAGTTAAATTGTATGTCATTACTATCGTGTAATTGCCATTTGTTTGTTTGTTTGTCTGTTTCAACAGGAAGTACGAATGGCACAAGCACGGTACATGTGCAGCCAAAGCCGAATCTCTCAACAGTCAGCATAAATACTTTGGCAAGGCACTGGAACTGTACCATAAACTGGACTTGGATAGGTACAGAACAATTACACATACACCCCCTTCACATGCAACTACATATACATCTCTCAGAAACACTGTTTTCTGTCCAGTTCTTGGTGTGAACTTGATTTTCCTTGTTCCTGTTACCTTCTCACATGTTTGCCATCCACAGTCTAGTTCACAGAAACTCCTATAGACTAAAAAACACCTCAAAGCCTGAAACTAAAATCTGTGTTTGTGTTATTGTAGCATCCTGAAGAAGTTTGACATCGTCCCCTCTGACAAATACTACGCCGTAAGTTTATCTATATGTATGACATCAAAGTATATAATTAAATCTCAAATATAAGTCCTATTTAAAGAAGTAATCCATTGATTTAGAGTGCCTCATAAAAACAAAAGTCACAACCTCTCACCTTTGCTCCTGATGTCTCTTTGTGTAGTTTTCCCAAATTGAAGGAGTGATTGAAAACTTCTATGGTGTCAAACCCAAGATCCAGTGTGTCCATCCATCAAAGGTACAAACACCTCATTTATTTTACATATGCCATCGTCATTTGTTGTCTTTTCGCATGGTGCCGCTTTTCAAGAACGTGTTGCGTCAGGTGTACTGTTTTTAAGCCACATTTTAATTCTGTTTTTGTTCTCTTTACAGAATGCTTTCCAGATTTTGGGGCAGATTGAGATCTGTTTCCACTCCGACTTTACCCTCCTGGACTGTGAGAAAGAGATTACCATGGAAACCTTTTCTAAGGGAGGCTGGGACGGTCCTGTGGGTGTTGACAAGGTGGGGGGGTTCAGTGTGTGTGACCATGATATGCCGGTTTACTACCCACCTCTTAAATCAAATACGTACATGTAAGAGCTGAAGTGAACCGACCACTACAACCCTTATTCTACACATACGATGGCACACAAACAACTGCATTTGGGGAATTTTTTTTTGTGCAAATGTACTGTAGTGTTTTGCTCAGGTTTCACAAAGAACACACAAAGTTGTATTGTTAATGATGTTTCTTTTAAAAAAAATTTAATCACTCCTGTCGAAAACACTTTTAACTGTTTTTAATTTTTTTGCTGTAAAACACAGGACACATGCACACTGGTGTTTAACTGGGGTTTTATTCCTTTCTTGCTCTTGCTAATTAGGAGTTCAACAGTCACAGCTTGTGTTTTTCCAAAGCACAGCCAGAGGCATCATAGTTAGACAAACAGTTTATGTGCTGTGCATTTTATGTATCATCAAAGTGCCTATCATGTGACACTGCTGGCCGTATTTTGTACTATATTTATCTTTGTGTGCCACCTGTTAAGTGCCATCTATTCGTTTAGCTATGACACAAATGCCTTTTAAGAATCATGATAATTACATTTAAATAGGAAGTGCTCTGTAGCGGTGAATCACTATGCAAGTAGTACTAGTCAGCATGGATACTTTTGAGTGTTTTAAGGGCAAGAGCCGCCATTTTTTTTAACCTACAAGGCAGTTTTGCAGCATCGACATCTTTCAGGCATTATAATCTCATGATATCTGAATCTAAATGATAATTTCACTTTGCTATCTTCGGACATTTGCCAAGTACATGCGACAATTCAATGTTTACAGGTCAGGACTGTGCCTCTATAAATACAGTATGTGGTGTATATAGTGAATGCTTCAGGTGTACATGTTTGTTTTTGAATATGAATTTAAAAATGCATAAAGCACATTGAACTAAAAAAAAAAAGTTCACCCAAGCACAACCCCATTACCCAAGATGTTCACAAGGCACCATTTTTGCTGGACTTAGGAACTGTACAGATGAAACACTCGAGATGTAGCAAATGATTTGGTGAACACTGTTTAATCCATTACCGATCAGTCCGATGACTTGTTTCTGCTGCTGTGGCTATTTTTGTGCATTGATTCAGTTTAAAGCTAAATTATTGTTTTTGTAATTTGTGAAATGACTGAAATGAAAGTGTGTACTCTGCGTCATTTTTTAATGTCAATAAAACATTGAATATCCAGTCAATATTCCTTGATGTTATTATGTAATATTGATCACCCATTGGCATTTTCAATTTATGTAATTAAAAATAAATTCACCCTAAAAACAGCTTGTTGAATGAATATAAAGGACCACAAAATATATAATAACAGAATGGGATGTCAGTGCTGACCATGCAGCACAATATAGCGTAATAACAGAACTATATTTCAGCCTGCTTCTTTATCCGTCCCTATCTGCGCTGTGTGTATAAATATTAATGTTGTGATCTCCTTACAGAGCCATAATCCCACCGGGACAAAGACACCAGTCCATAATCCCGAATCTCCTCCCACAACACAGCGCAGCAGATTGACTGAACACATCTGATAACGTTTCCAGTCGCGCCTAAAATGCCCTCAAACTACGTGCCAGTGATTTTTTTTTTTTACCCAAAATGGGATCCAAATCCTGTCAAACACATGAAAATAGCACCACGAGCTCTGTTTCTCGTGACGTTCCAGGTTTAGGGATCACGGTTGGAGCATTTGAGGTGGAGGACCCTGGCTGAAGAAGTTGAAACCTTATTTTAGAAAACAATTAAATGCCAGGTCAGGCGTGGGCACTTGACCTGAGTGAAGGGGCGACTCTTTTCAATAATAATAATGATGCTGCCCCCCACCTCCCCAACTTCCTTTGGTCTATTTCCATCTCTCCCTCTCTCTCTCTCTCTCTCTCTCTATGGTTATGTAACACTGCAGTTCTGCAAAGCTGCTGATGTGACAGATCCAAGCACCTACACAAACACACACACTCATGGCCAGTGATCAGCCAGATCACGCTGCACTCTCTGTGATTGCACTCCTCGCATCTCTCATCACTATTGATCATAACATTGATTGCTGCACTCCATATTCCATTGAATTGTGATGTAACGTCTCTGGATCTGAGCCACTGTGTTGTTGTTGTTTTTTCCTCTATTGTTGTCCTGCTTGCAATCTACTTTCCTTAATCATTTGCCTGTTTTTTTGATTCTCTCCGTGCGATTGGATGTCGTGCAGGAGCAAAAAAAAAAAAAAAACGAGAAGGGGACAGAGGAAGAGGGAGGCAGGGAGAGGTGGCTGGGTTACACCATGTGACCTCACCAGCTGTTGCTGTATGCTGTTGGGAGAAACCGAGAGGGAGGTGAGAGGCAGGAACAGGGGAGGATGACGGAGGGGAGGGGTCGGGAGCTTGCCGGCCTGCACACAATGTGACTGGTGACAATCCCTTGTTCTGCAGAGAGAGAGAGAGAGAGAGGGAGGCAGCAAGGGGATGATCACACACACCACACACACACACACATGCACGAGCAGAGACGTGAGGAGGGAGCTCACACACACACCTCTCCTGATTCAGCGGAACAGATTTATTCGTCACCTCTCCCTGCAGCCTCATGCAGTGAGCAGAGCAACACAAGAACAATCCCAGACCCAGCAGCACCTGCCCCGTCCGTCTGGCTTGCGGCTCTGTGACAACTCTGACTGCGTGCTTTGCTGGTGTCCACTGCAGCTGAGAGAGAGAGAGAGAGGACGAGGGAGAAGGGGGGCGGAGGGGAGAGAGAGGAGAGAGAGAGGAACGGCAGCCCGAAACCCAACCGGGGAGACAAGCGGCGCATGTGAATGATGGGAAAACTACAAAGCGACGACTGCATTGAGGATGGGCCAATGGAGAAACTGCGGGACAAATAGATAACCAATAAAAGCTCCTTTTCTGCATCTCTACCTTAGGACACCCCACCACCACCACCACCCTCCCTCCTGCGGGGAGATGTTCATCATTATGGGATAGATGCACAAGTCTGCACGTTGCCATGGATACCAGCACGCGAAAATTCACAGTGCGGAGATGGTTTTCTATCTACCTGAAGAACAAGGCGGCCAGGAACAAGAACAGCACCGGATTCTGTCAGCTAGAGGTCAGTGAGTTTTTGTTTAGATCTCGATCGGATTCAAACTTCTGTCAACTGCGTGCGCGTGACAGCCGCGTTGCATCACAATTGCAGCATGTGTTTTTTGTGTGCAAAGGCCCCAGACAGACCCTGATGAGAGATGAGCAAGCTCACATGTACGGCACATGAGGATGACTAAGTGGAAAAGGAGTGTGAAGAGAATGCACGTTATCTGGCTTGTTGTTCAGGAGTCACTGCTGCATCCGTACAGCTGTTGCTCTGCCTGTCTGTCAGGAATCCAGAAAACAGAGGGCAAGGGAGACACTAGTGTTTTGTCTGAGAGAGAGAGAGACAGAGAGGTTATATGGAAATAGAGTCAGACAGAAACGCTAACAGGCAAACAAGCAGCAAGGCAGGCAGGTTGATAGATAAATGGATAGAGACAGATTGATTCAGTGGACAGCCATAGCAGTGGAGGTCTATTTATAGCCCAAACAAACCAGTGAGGAGAGAGAGAGGCAGCATGCTGTTTGCAGCACATCTACCTGTATGTTTGGGATATAAATGGAAGAAAAACACTCCCTCCTCCTCCCCTCATTTGTTCCTCTTTGTAGTGAACAAGTGCTGATGAATCAACTTGACAGACCCTCTACCTGTTTGTCTCTCTTGATGGCAAATGTCTGTCTGCTCCAGTTTGTTTACCTGTTCTGTCAGTAGTACGCAGTGAGCTGCTTTGACGCTCCACGAGGGAAAGGTCTCTTTCTGTCGCCCTCCCAGTGAAGGGAGGATCAGCATCTGATCGGTCTCCCAGGAGCTGCTGTTGGCGGCCTTGAACCTGTTCCCTGCTGGTTGATGGACGTCACTCCTGCGACCTTGTGTGGAGACTAAAGCAGCAGTTTACTCACGTGAGGCAGGCAGTGACATCACAATGATGTTGTAGTTTTATTGTGCAAATTACCTTTAAATCCCCAAATGTTGTGTCACAACCCTAGAATGTATTCATTTCATATTAACTCCATTTTTAAATTCAGTTTATGCAGCGTGACATCATATGAACACTGTTTGGATACAGCTCAGTGTACTACAACTGGAGCCACACAAAAAAAAGAAGTATTTCCCACACTGATGTGAAAACTGAGTCAAAACAAGTGCAAAATATTGTAGCAGAAAATCCTTGAATCCTCTGAATGTGTGATGTGGGCTATGGATCTGCACTGTTGCTATGCTGTTATGTCAGCACTTGATATGCTGTCAGGGTTGTTTCCTCCCTCACTGAGGACGAATGTGTGGCTCTGCTTGCTTGTGCACTTCCTTTAGGATCCACACTGCACAAAAAATAATCCGTATTTTAGTGATTATTACAGTTACCGAATAGCAAAAAGGGACCGCCGGCGTGATTCCATTTGTTTCCTGTATGAGTGTATTTATATTTTAAAGAATGTCTAGAGAGAAGTGTGATTTTCTTGATATTGCATCAGCCTGGAGAGTAGAACTCTGATTTCTACAAAATCCCTGATATATGAGGAACTGCTCTGGAATAATTGGACTCCTGATGGCCAACTTTGTTCAAGCTGTAATGAAAATAAATTCTGGCGGCTGAGTTTGAGCCCCCATATCTTGCTTTGGTTAGAGGAAAATGTAACAAGAAAACAAATGTGGTATCACCACCGCCTCAGCACTCTCACTACAATGATAGCATCAAAGAACTCGCTGTCTTGGCAGAAGCAGATGTGACAGTTTGATTATTTTTAGCCTCATGTGTACTTTTGAGTCTTAGAAATTACTCTGATTCCCAAATGGAGAAATGGATCTCGTGTCATTCTCAGAGGAATGCAGACTTCTGAAGTGATTGATGGCAGCAGGTTGCTTTGTCAATTCTACAAACCACAGTAGATTAGAAAATCAGTTAGTTTGTGTAGATAGATGTTTATGTGATGCTTTCACTTAAAGGGAAATGTCGCTCAAATTCGTGTTGACAACGTGAAATACAAACGAGCTCTCTTGCGATTGGCTCACTCCAGCTGCGATGCCAAGTCAGCGTGTTTGGCTCGACGCAACCAATGACATGAGTGAAGCGAGTTTGGTGAAACAGATGACCTGTGACAGATTTGCTCAAAATCCGTCCATCCATCCATTAGCTATACCGGCTTTATCCTGCAGAGAACCGCAGGGGGCTGGAGCCAATCCCAGCTGACACTGGGCAAGAGGCGGGGTGCACCCTGGACAGGTTGGCAGTTCATTGCGTGGCGAACACAAAGAGACAGACAACCGTGCACACTCACACTTGCACCTACAGCCAATTTTGGAATTACCAGTTAACCTGCCATGGATGTGTCTGGACTGTGGGAGGAAACTGGGCCGAGTAGGGAGAAAAAAACTCATATAGGCACACGGAGAACATGCCCAAAACCACAAAATGTCACATAAGTCAACATGATGATGTTATGAGCGCTCAGTGGTTATTACTACATTATTACACGAGTCAGTACCCATGAGCTGGACCACATCCATCTTTGAATCAACAGACACCTTCCAGAGTTCTTCAGACAACTTTTATGGAACTTCCCAGAATCAGTGTGCGTCTCCAGGACCACATTTTGCCACGATGACACACACCCACAGTTCCACACGGAGAGAATAGAATAGAATAGAATAGAATAGAAATACTTTATTAATCTCCAAGGTGAAATGTTGTTGTTACAGTATAAAGATAAAGTTACCATCACCATAAATACAGATAAATAAACAAAAAATAAAATATAAAAAGCAAACTATACAATAAGTATAATGCTGTCAAATAGAAGTAGAAAAGTCCTGTGAGGATTGTAGTGCAAATAATAATGTGCAACAAAAGAGTACAAGACCAGTTTCTTAGCTTAATAACTGAAGACAAACACTTTGTTTTACTGCTAACAAGAAAATGGACCTGTTTTATTACTACTGACTTACTCAGTCCAACAAATAGATTCAATCAAAACATGTGCAAAGACAAATGTTTGTTTTTTTTGTTGTTGTGATTTTTCAACCACAGTTGTGAACGTCTCAACCGAGAACCTGCTAAAATCTACCAAAAAAATCCAGCTTGTGTACAGCTACCAATGATTTACAACCATTACCTTTGTAAATTTACCAAACCCTGTTAGCATGTCACACCTGATTGAAAGTGGGGTGTAAAGCTCTTAACTCCTAAATGACACTGACAATTTGACAGAATTACAGTATATTGTCACACTGTCCGATCTCGGCTGTGCCTCAGGTTGGCAGTTGATCATTCGCTTCACCGAGCAGACTGAATGGACTGAAAAAGGCAGCTTACACTATGCATCGCTGCCGGTGACCTCAGCCCACACCTTTCCAGTAATAACATAATGACTCATAAATATTCATCTATCTTTAGTTGTGGATTTAAGCGTGATTACTGCAGTGATATGCTTTATTTTTGAATGTCAGCCTGAATGGATTTGATAACTGCTGAGATGTTGTAAAATGCATCTTGTTCGTGTCTCGTCTTGGAGGCAGATCTCGTTAGTTTTTCTTATTTTGTCTTTGTAAATATATGTAATAAACATGCAAATAATGATGTCTTTCTTTCCTCAGGACGACAGTGTGCTGAAGGAGTTTGACATCAGCCACCATGTTAAGGAGGGCTGTGAGAAAGCAGACCCCTCTCAGTTCCAGCTGCTCAAGGTGCTGGGACAAGGCTCCTATGGAAAGGTACTGAAACTACTGAGATCAGAGTGTCTGTGATTGTTGAGAGGAAGCAGCTCTTTGCACATCATCTGAAAGAAAACAATGACCCATCAGACCCAATGTCACTAGGACGTGCAGACTTTTCTAAACTTAGCCCAGAAGACCACCACTTAGACGACAAGTGTTTGGTATTAACACGAGTTTCACTTAAATTTCTGGACTTTCACACAAAGTGTCCGCGACATGGCACAAAGTACGTGCACACTCCACAAGCATTAATATGCTAATATAATTGCCTCCAGTCCTGTGCAACGTCTTTCCGGCTCCCGTTCAGACACGAGAGCATTAAGGTCAGACAGTGATGTGGGGCAACGCAGCCCGGCTCGCAGTTAGCATCGTAATATATCCCAAAGGTGTCGGACTGGGTTGAAGTCAGAGCTCCGTGCAGACAAATCAAGGTGTTTTACTTCAAACTCAGAAAAAACGTTTGTGAGACTTGCTTTATGCAGCTGAAAGGAGAAGAGCACTCCCCAAACTGTAACCACAAAATCAGAAGTGCATTATTGTTTGAAATGTCACTCTTTGCTGTGGTATTACAGTTTCCCTTAACTGGAACCGAGGAGTCTGGCTCCAACTGTGAAAAATACCCCCAGACAAAAAAAGTACACAGGGACAGACAGGGGCGTGTCCTCTCACTTTTGGCCATACTCGGTGTATTTCCAGTGACTGACTATGCTTAACCAGCCAATCGTCTGCTAATGATTAGCCATCCATTTCCAATTATCTGTAGATTAGCTGCCTTGACAACGGCTACATAGATCACTAAGCTTATTTAAATTAGTAAAGGCCCACTGACTTGTCAGTGTTACTGTAGATTAGAGGTCTGCATGGCCAGACATGAAGGCCCGGCAGATGTTGGCGGCTTGGATGCTGTTTCCAAGGCTGCAGGCAGGCATGTGAGGTCAAGTCACAGCGCGGCCTGGATAGCATGTTTACGTAGCTCGCTGTACGGGATGCTGAAGCAGACTTTATGTTGCTGTTTTATTAAACATGATGGTCGCTGGCACTTGTCTAAGCGTGGTAACCTACAAGTTGCCACTGAGCATGGAAATAGTGTTTTTAAAAATGTGCATGTCGTACGTAGTGAACTGAAGTGTGTCTAAAGTGAGGAGGACATACTCTGCTAACAGTGAACTGCTACAAAAGGTCCTTTTAAATTGATAAATGATAATAAATACTGTAAAACAGCTTCCCAAATGTGATGATGACAGTGATGAATGATGGTAATTTTTTTTTTTCAGGTGTTTCTGGTTCGGAAGATTAGAGGAGTGGACAGAGGACAGCTATACGCCATGAAGGTCCTGAAGAAAGCCACGCTGAAAGGTAAGACACTCGATTTATACACAAAATGAATAACTCAGCAATAAAATGTAAAATCCTGTAGCTCAAATTAATAATACTAAAGAGTGTCCTTGTGAACTCAATGATAAATAACAACCACTTATATATTGTTGTTATAGAGATATAACTGACTTGTTTACTCATCCTGGATACATGAGAAGTGCTTTTTGAAACTCTGCTTTTTAAGATCCCTTGTATATCATGTTCTTGTTAGGAGGCAAAATCCAAAATAGGACATATTACAAAAAAAAAACCCTGTCTCTGTGAGTGGTTAATTTGTTAAATTAATATGGGTTTTGTACAGGAATGATAAGCGATATATAGTGGCCGGAGTTCTCCCTGTGGCCTACATTCAGGGGATTTGGGGTAAAAGAGGTTAGTTTGTACTTTTGATTCAGATGAACTGTTTCGCATCGACTGGGATTATTGTAAACGTGGGTGTATCGTAAAAGCAGGTTGAGATGTCATGTGCCGGTCTAGTGTCTTTATACAAGCCTTAATCCTCTTAACCTGCGCCCCTGGAACTGAAAGAGTTACAGTCTCATCTTGTAAAGGAGACAGATGCTGCAATAACACTGTTATTGTGGTTTCTGCTGCACTACAAGCCTGCAGCACAATAGTGCCGGTTTAACTCCATTTATATTCTTAAATTAAGGAAACGCATTTACATTCTACATAAAACACACTCATGGCATTAAACGCTTGTCACATTTAAATAAAATAAACTGAGAGCAGCTTTATTAAACTGATCACCCTCTGTCTTGTTAGTTCGAGATCGGGTGCGATCTAAGATGGAAAGAGACATTCTGGCAGAAGTGAACCATCCATTCATAGTTAAACTCCACTATGGTAAGTACAAATTATTCTGTTTGGATATAAGTCTTCTTCGGAAAAGTGGAATTGATTTAATGTTAATTTTTATACTAAAATACAGTTATTGTTTTTTGTGAATGTGATTCTATTTTGACTACGGCTTTACATCGACACTTAGATTAACACCAGGCGTCTTTGCAGACTTCACTGCTGGCTGCTGAGAGCATTTAAAGTTGTGGCGTTGGCTAATTAGTCACCGTGAGCTATTACACATAGGACAGATTAAGACGGTAAAAGTTGTTTTGATTGTACACATGCTCAAAATGAGGCAAAAGGTAATCACGCACCGATCGTAAGTCTGACTCGTCTCGCCTCTGTACTTATGTGCGGATGAATGCTCACCCAAGTACACCTTTTATCCGATGAATACATCCTCACAGGATATAATGCAGCCCCCACTACGGCAACAAAGCCTCAATTTTGAGTTGCATAACCAGTAATTCTGTGTGTATGTGCCAACCTGTGTGCAGCCTTCCAGACAGAAGGGAAGCTCTATCTGATCCTGGACTTTCTCCGAGGAGGAGACCTTTTCACTCGTCTGTCCAAGGAGGTGGGTTTGCTACTGATAGGCTGTCTGGCTACTGATATGGCTCTTTTTCTATTTCCACCCCCAAAAATAAATAAAAAAATCCTATTACAAGCCTTGACTGTTTACAGTCTATGATGGGAAGCAGCAGGAGTAAACATACCTGCCAGGGCTGCACAATATATTGTTTCAGCGTTGACATTTCGATGTGCACATGCGAAATAGTCACATTGCAAAGAGTGTGATGTGTAGGGGGGGCGCCGTGATAGCTCACCTGGTTGAGCTGGCGTCCCATGTACAGGTGATAGTGAGTTTGAATCTGGCTCATGACGCTTTGCTTCTCCTCGATTTTCCTGTCTGTCTTCACTGAACTAAATAATAAAGGCACAAAAGGCCAAAAAAGAAAAAGAGTGTGATGTGTGGTTGGTAAGGCAAAGGACCTTGAACGCATCATGCTGCAGTTGTTGTTGTTGCTTGAAACAAAAAGAGAACTCTCTTCGATACACTGAGGTTTTTCTTCAGCTCTATTTCGTGCAGGTTCAGCATGTGCACAGCAAAATGAGTGAGGGACAGACCGACAGAAACAAACAAACAAAAATCAGCTGTGTGGAAATTCTTTGGCTCCGGAAAGGATGCTGCTGACCAAAAAAAACAGCTAATCTGTTGCAGCGCCTTGCAATTGTTGCTCCTTCAATAAGAAAAGCATGATTTATTTGTCCAATCTACAAAGCTCTGTATGACAAATGCAAGGTCAGATCTGAACGCCATCAAAAGGAAAAAAAAAACATTTCGGATGCCTTTGACAGTGTTAGAAAGACGAAACGGTTTGCACTGAAAAAAAAGTCCTCACAGTGTAACGGTGGATGCAAAACCTCCCCAGTCTTTATAGAAGGATTGATTCTTTCCAAGCCATGTGATAGAAATGACTGTATTTGCTCACATCACAATACGTAACGCAAAAATATTGTAATGTCAGTTTTTATCGATATCATGCAGCTCTACCTGCCGTCATTCCCTTGTGACTGCTGTGTTGTTGTGATTCTCCGTCTCTGTTATTTTAATGCACTATCAGTAAAAACCACGCGTGTGCTGGTCGGCAGGATGAAGATTTTGAAAAGAAGCAGTTGTGTCTTCTTTCTCATGAAAACCTAAAACCAGTCGGTGCTTGTGCTGCAGCAGAGTGCTATTTTTGTATGTTGTACTGCAGCTTTTCCAACTTCCTGGAAACCGCTCCTCTTTCTCTCGTTTTTTTTTTTTTTTTTCTTGAATGTTCGAAGGACAAACAAATTAAATAAAGACAGACAGCGATTTCCTGTATTGTTACAGAAGGCATGAAAAGTCCGTATTAGTGTCACCGACAGGCCCGTAATCTCTCGGTGTGGAGTAGTAGTTGTATAAGATGGTGATGACATATGAGGTATGTGCACGTTTTTCTGAAGAGGATTAAGTTTTATGTAATTTGTCAGATTTAATACCTTTGATCTGGAAATGTGGCAGCAAAGTGTGAAGTTATTTCCCGATTATTGGAGCTTATACACCGACATGAGCCACCCTGCAGCTTTTTAAACATTTCATATTTTTGTCTTTTTGCCATTTTGTTTTTGTTATCTTTATTCTAATTGGTGTTTTGTTGGTTTGTATGATCTAACACATCCCTTTGCTTACTCGTTGTAGGTCATGTTTACAGAAGAGGACGTGAAGTTCTACCTTGCAGAGTTGGCTCTGGCCTTGGACCATCTACACAGTCTGGGGATCATCTACAGAGATCTCAAACCTGAAAAGTACGACATTATCATCCTTGTTTTGGTATCCATTTATTTATAAAGTTAGTAAAGTCAACGTTAATGTTCTCTTTTCTCCCATTAGTATTCTTCTGGATGAAGAAGGGCACATTAAGATCACCGGTGAGTGCTTTCAACTGCAAGCAGTCTGCGTATTTAATTATTTTTCAGGTTTTCCTCTTCACCTTGTGCCTTCTCTCTCTCTCTGTCTGCTTCTCTATTCAGACTTTGGACTGAGTAAGGAAGCCATCGACCACGACAAAAGAGCGTATTCCTTCTGTGGAACAATAGAGTACATGGCTCCAGAGGTGGTAAACCGGAGAGGTCATACGCAGAGCGCTGACTGGTGGTCGTTTGGGGTCCTTATGGTGAGAACTGTTTACATAGATAACAATCTTTTCCTCTGACAGTCTCTTTACATGCACTAGTAGTCTCTCCTCTGAGTAAACAGTCAGTTTATTTGCTGACTTGCAGGTTTCGTCTAATCATGTGTTTATTGCGTTTCATGAGCGACGGCCTCGGCTCTCAGATAATGTGCCAGTGAACTGGTTTTCTTCATTTGGCTTTCTTCCGGCAGTAAAGCTGCTTAATTACCGTATCTGGCAGATTAGGTTCCATCACTTTCAGTAATCATGCATCTGCTGAATTGTGCTTGTTTTGTTGGCCTGGTGGCTTATTTTACTAATACTCAGAAGGAGGTTAACATTTGCTGACAGCTGGTAGCTACACCAGGGCACCGGGGAAAGATGTAACCGCTAGCTACCCTCGTCTAGTATTAGGAATATGCAGATAAACCAAACAAATAGCTAAACGTGTCTAACTCTCCCTGGAGTGTCAGAATTGACAGAGAAATACTTAATTATAACGACATTTAATTTATAATATTGTGACGCAATCCTTGAGACAAATGACTGAAGTCAAAAATGATGCTGGAAAGTTTGGGAATGTCAAGAGCAGCTGCTGCTTTTTTTTTTCTGGTGTTTCCTTTCTATCTCTTCTTGTTTTTTTTTTTGTGTGTTTTTTTGTTGTTGTGCATTTTTTGCGTGTTTTTTTCTTTTTTACAGATGTGCAACTCTGTGTTCTCTATCCTGTGCGGGGAGTTTTTGCAGAGAGCGTTTTTTTTTAGTTTTTTTTTTGTGTACTGTACTGTGTTTTTTTTTCCATTTTTCCACAGTGTAGCGCTTTTTTTTTTCCTTTTTTTTTTTTTACAGCTGTGTATGTTTTTTATATGGTCGATATAGAATGGAATTGAAGAGGATAATAGCAGTTTAAAAAATAAATAAACACTGTCCACTCCAGGGCGTAAGGTAGTAGGAACATGCCTCAACCAGAGGCAGGGAGGAAGCACTTTGACACAAGACAGGATGACCCTGTGTCGCTGGTATATACTGTTATTGCAACAATAAGGGTAGTACTGGTTCCCATCTTATAGTAAAGGTGGCCTTCTGAAGTCTTAGTGAGAATGTAATCTGCTCCATTTGATAAATGTCCCAAACTTTTTGAATCCACGTGTTGTATGAGGGAGGTTCTGGTTTCAACCATCCAATGGTTATGGTCAGCCGTGGGTAGTATAGAGAGCATTTTACTGGTTTAATTGTGAATGCATTGTGATATGCTATTATCTCAACTGGATTTTTGTCTTTGATCATAATTCCAGTGGCGATATGGCCGTACTGTTCATGAGCTGGGATGTCAGTCCGGTTGGGGATGTTGCAGAGACACATCGGTGGATAAAGCGTTACCTAAAGCTGTAGTTTTGACAAATCACAGAGCAAAGTGTTAACTTCTGTACATCTTTATTTCATGTCGGTATTAATGAAATGTGTCCAATAAAATGTGATCAAGGTCATTTTCACTGCAGGCTCAGCTTTCACATTTTCTTTCCAACGCTGGCTCATATTCAAAGAAGCTCTGATGACTAATGAAGCTCGCACTGAGCATTTAGCTTCAATAATCCGCCTCCACAGCGCCTTCCATTAGTCGGCTGACGTGGCCTGACTCTTTGTTAACTTTTTTGTTTTCCAGTTTGAAATGTTGACAGGATCATTACCATTCCAGGGGAAGGATCGGAAGGAAACAATGGCGCTTATTCTAAAGTAAGACCGGTTCAACATGTTAATGCCTGTTGTCATTATTCTTAAAGCCTTTCAGGTATACCTTTGACATGTCTGAGTAAAAAAATGTTGATTTGCTGTTTTAAATTGTTAGAAGTGGGAATTATTTTTTATGTGTTGCTGATGTTTTAATAGTTAGTTATATTGTTTTTATGTATAATGATTTCCCTCATATGTAATATGTAGAGGAAGTCTTGTCATTAAGTACCTCTTTCCCTCTGCAACTGCTTTAATCTGTCTCTTAAAATGCCTAATTCATTTCATCCAAGCTGCTCGTATAAACTCTCAGTTGTCAATCTCAGAATATCCCACCATAAACTTGCTTCTTGTCTGCACAGGGCCAAGCTGGGGATGCCGCAGTTCCTCAGTCCTGAAGTACAGAGTTTATTAAGAGCGCTCTTCAAGAGGAATCCTGCAAATCGACTTGGTATGTTACATAAAAACCGTGGGCACTGGGAGGCAAATATGGTTTCAGAATAATGGTAGTACATGGATGGGTTTTTTTGCGTGTCTTAGGATTACCAATTTTATAGGTCAGTTCTTACCTTGGGGGATTCAAAATGTTCCCGGCAAAACAGCTACAGATGATGTTAGCGGCTTAAAGTAAAATTTGGAAGCTCAGAAAGAGTTGAATCACTTAAACATTGGATGCGTCGTTCACGTTTCCCTCAGAGCCAATGCAATCAAACCTTATCTTCTGTTTGTGCGAGTAATAAAGTTGTTTGTGAAAATTTGATTTATAAAAACTGCTAAATGAAAGTTGCTCCACAGCTTCCCCAGTCAACCTGTACGCTGATGATGTTCAGCGATATGTTATGTTATGTCATGATTTGGAAATCTGACGGCGTCCACGACAGGGTTCATTAAAACCTGCCTGATTCATGATCATTTTGAGTTTTAATCACTGTCTGCATCTTTTATCTGTGTGACTGACAGGTGCAGGACCAGATGGAGTAGAAGAAATAAAAAGGCATCGCTTCTTTGCATCGATAGACTGGAATGTAAGTGCAGCTTATTCATATTTTGCATCACACATAGCAGGGTGCTGTTAGTTCCCCGAGGAGAAAAAAATGGAAGTTGCACTTCTCACATTGAGATTTAGTCGTCTTGGTTAAATTTAAAAGCAACACTTTACTGAATCACATTGTGGCGACTGTAGCAGCGTCATCAAAACCCTGCAGCTGTTCCTCCACTTCCTCAAGAGTTGCCCACAACTGTGAATCATTTCACATCCTTAGTATGAGATTATGCTGCGCTGCAAAATCTCTAGCTTCTTTCTTTCTTTCTTTCTTTCTTTCTTTCTTTCGTTCTTTCTTTCTTTCTTTCTTTCTTTCTTTTCTTTCTTTCTTTCTCTTTCTTTCTTTCTTTCTTTCTTTCTTTGAACAGGGACCATGCATTTTTACATAGAAAACATGTGATGTATTGCATATAGAGTGTATAGCATTAAGCTAATTTTCAACTCCTGTCCCTGGTTGGGGCTGCAAGGTGGTGCAGTTGGTTAGCACTGTTGCCTCACAGCAAGAGGGTTGCCGGTTCGCCGGTTTGCCGATTGTGGAGTTTGCATGTTCTCCCCCGTGCAGCGTGGGTTCTCTCCGGGTTCTCCGGCTTCCTCCCACACAGTCCAAAAACATGTTGAGGTTAATTGGTGATTCTAAATTGTCCGTAGGTGTGAATGTGAGTGTGCTTGGTTGTCTGTCTCTAAGTGTAGCCCTGTGATAGACTGGCGACCGGCCTGAGTCAGCTGGGATAGACTCCAGCCCCCCGTAGTGAGGATTAAGCGGTGTATAGATGATGGATGGATGGATGTCCCTGGTTGGGCTTTTCAGTAAAAATACACAAAGGACCAACAACACCAATAAAAACAGCACAGACAACATTATAAACTTATAATCCCCCACCCTTCCTTTCTTTCTTTCTTTCTTTCTTTCTTTCTTTCTTTCTTTCTAATTGTGTTCCCTCTTATCTACATTAGTTTTTCTCTTAGAGACTTTAACTACAGCTACAGATGTTCTCTGTGCTATCACCATCTAACCTCGACATCCACTCCTTGGACATGCGCTGCTTAGACGGGATCATTCTTTCAACTACTTTCACTGTTGCCCAAAGCTTTTATTTAAGCAACCTTTCAAACATGATTGAATTCTGAGAATCAGGTTGTTTCTGGCAATCTTGAAGCCTGTTCTTGCAGCCGAAGCCTTCTCCAGCCGTTAACAGTCACTCAGCAGTAGTACATATGTGAAAAGAAGAGCACTTATACCGTATATGCTATCATTACCACGGTAACAGAAGACGCTTTCAAGAACTACACTGTGCACACAGTGTGTAGCGTACATACAAGAAGTGTGAAACAGCTGAAAACTCTCAGGAAAATGAATGAATTCAGGCTAAAGAAGAAAGCCCTCTTGCGCCAGACTATTTGTGAAATTGACTCAGAAAGTGGTGTTTTGTTAACAGAGACAGAAAAGAATGAAATAGAAATAGCTGAATATTCATGTGTCATTTTCTTTTAGTATTAATGACGAATACATTTGAGGTCTCGAGTTGTGTCACCAGGTTTAAAAAATAATTAAATAGTTGCATTAATAATAACCCTGAAGGACTCATAGAGACACCCTATAATTCGTAGCTGCATCAAACTTAGACCCACAAACCGACAAGCCTGTTCTCTGTGATTTTACTGGAGTTACCCAGAGAGGCTTTGTTCTATCCTAAATCCGTTTTGACAGCCAGAAATCTCAGCAGAGCAATCACTGACACATTGACTGTAATCATGCCCCCTTCAAATACCTGAACTGAGCAACCAAATCTCTTAAAGCGCTCCTTCATTTTTTTTATCACAGACGTTTGGAAGGCTCTCGTTGTTGTGAATGCTTTTATTTCTAACTCAATCCACTATCATCTGCGTCGCATGCCCACTAATCTCTGCCCTCACCACCGGTTCTCTCTGTACTCCCCTGCGACATTACTACCTGCTCGCTTCCTGCCAAACATCACATTTTCCCATTTACAGATGATGCTGCCGCTGGCTCGATGTGACGAGCCGTCAATAAGAAGCTTAGGCTCTCCATTACACTGTGCTAATTAAAACGCTGTACTCTGTCAGGCAGAGCGGGTCCCTCGTCATTCATTAAAAATCTTGTTTTGACTTTTTCTCGAGGATCCTTCTGTCTCTCCTAAATGTCTTGATGAGTTTCTTTTATAAAGCTGCAGCGGTTGTTATAAATTAGAAACAATGCCAGAATGCAAATATGAGTGTGCGTCACTAGTGAAAGCTTCAGCATGAATACAGAGAGCTTTTTTCTAAACTACTTGTGGCCTCTGTGATGTGTTTACGACTAAAGGAAACCCAAGCAGGCTGTTCATAGCAGGCAGAGACTGACACCTGCAGACCACACTCAGTATTACATTTAAGCTGATAAAAACACAGTATGTTCTGTGTGCTGGGCTGCAAGGTGGTGCAGTTGGTAGCACTGTTGCCTCGCAGCAAGAAGGTTGCCGGTTCGCGTCCCGGTGGGGACACCGGAATCTTTCTGCGTGGAGTTTACATGTTCTCCCCGTGCAGCGTGGGTGACTGTCCGGCTTCTCCGGCTTCCTCCCACACAGTCCAAAAACATGTTGAGGTTCATTGGTGATTCTAAATTGTCCGTAGGTGTGAATGTGAGTGTGCTTGGTTGTCTGTCTCTAAGTCTGTGATAGACTGGCGACCTGTCCAGGGTGTCCCCTGCCTTCACCCTGAGTCAGCTGGGATAGGCTCCAGCCCCCCCGCGACCCTAATGTATAGAAATGGATGTTCTGTGTGCTGATAGATGATGAACAAGACATAATACTAAAAATGCCTCTTTCGCCTCACTTTCTTTATTTTATTCTCCTCTTTAATTTTCTCTATTCTTTGCCAGTTCTGTTACATTTTAGCATCACTGCTGACTTCATGTTCATGTTTACGTTTAAACTTGCTCTACTTCATGTCCATTTCAGTAAAGTATTGTGGAACACAATCAATATTCTTCAAAGCAGTTTAAAGCTACAGTAGTTGGAAATCTGGAAAAAGGCAAAATGAAAGATTTGAAAATGTGCTATAATATATCTTTGGTCTAAGCTCCTTCGACCAGACAAGCATGTGCTTCAAACACACAGAGATAAACATAAACATTTGTTCGTGACTTCTCCTGAAATTTGAGTCCCGCTCTCAGGAGTTTAAACATTTCCTACTTTCACTGTAGAGGAGGTGCAGACAGTGTGTTATTTCTCTTAAATGACAATATCCTCAATGAATAGTATTGAATTTGAGCCAAAAGTTGAAGAAAGGTCATGCCTACCTCAGTTTTAATTGGAAGAAGGCATCATTTAGTTTGCATTTTTGTTTTTACCAAATGTATATTTAACAACGGGCTGCAAGGTGGATCGGTGGTTAGCACTGTTGCCTCACAAAAAGGTCGCCGGTTTGCGTCCTGGTGAGGACGCCCAGGATGTGTAGAGTCTCCATGTTCTCCCCGTGCAGCGTGGGTTCTCTCCGGGTTCTCCAGCTTCCTCCCACACAGTCCAAAAACATGTTGAGGTTAATTGGTG